TAGTAGTGCTCAGCCAACACCTTTATGCCTGGGTCAAAAGGTGAAGAAAACTGTGCTGTTGTCAGCATTAGTGCTACTGCCCCCCACATCTCCCATAAATCTCACTCCAGACATTTTTCAATGCTGGGCAAAGGGTGAACCTCTGCAGGACAATATAGTGAATACCCCACAGGGAAAGAGTGAAGTGCTGTGATAGCTGAATTATTTATTTACACATTTGACATCTTGTGTCTAAAATGTGGGTCACATCTGAGTCAGCAACAAGCAATAAGAGGAACCATTGAGAAATGAAAATGAACTATTGACCTCTAAAAGTCTTATGTGACAGAAAGCAAATGTCATGTATTTTTCTGTCTTTGTAAGCTTCCCAGAGAACTAGCAAAATATCTGATTAATTTTGGATGGCATATCTCAATCCTTCATTACCACAGCCACATCTCTGTATATGCAGCCTACAGAAAACAAATTGGATGGATGCAACTTTTAAAACAAATATCATTTGATCCTGAATAAGTTAATAGAGCACACTTTGGTGGGAAAAAAGAACCGCATTTTATGAGTAGGATAAACAATAAAATATTTCATTTTAATGGCTAAGCATTTTACAACTCTGCAGTCTTCCAATTTTTAATATTGTGCTGATTTACTGACTAGTTTAATGGATTCTAATTCCATGGACAGTTACTTGTAATTTTACAATAATATTTCGTATGTTTTACCTATGGCTTTCTATGTGCTTATTATTTGGTTGATTTTAGGAAGCCACGTTGAGACCTACTTTGGAAGAAAAGGTGGCTGTAAAGATTATGACTGATGATGAGGATGCAGATTTCGGATTCTTAACTTGATTACCAGTGGTTCTCAACCTGAGGGTCCCCAGATGTTTTGGCCTTCAACTCCCAGAAATCCTAACAGCTGGTAAACTGGCTGGAATTTCTGGGAGTTGTAGGCCAAAACACTTGGGGACCCACAGGTTGAGAATCATTAGATTAGGCCAATATTCTCTAGGAAAAATATTCTGGTTTTTTTCAATAGAATAAATGAATCAATATGTGTAGGCTAGTGCTGCATATTAAAACTAGATCACATCTTCAGTTCCAAGCCTACCCTTTTCAACCAGCTCTTTTGAAATTTGGAATTATTATGCAACTCTTTAGTGCCCTCCACTGGTTTATTTCAGAAATGCTATACTATCAGGAACCTCACATTCAGTTGAAAGTAAGTCCCCATTCCTTCCCTGCCACAGTACCTGGCATTAGGTACGCAAAATAACAGAAACATAGAAACATATAATTCAAAGAGTTCCCAGGGGCCATCCAGTTTAGTACCCCAGCACACAGGGGTTACACAATAAAAACACTCCTCGCAGATGGTCATCCAGTCTCCATTTAAAAATCTCCAAAGGAGACTCTGCCACAGTAGTTTGTCCCATACACAAACTGATCCTATCAATTCTTCAGCATGAAAGATGTGCCTGTTTTAATGTGAAGCATATTTATCCAGAGCTTTACTAGTTCCTGCAATACACTTTCCCCCAGTGCCCCATGGATTCGTCACACTGCCTGACAAATTCCCCCATTGTTGTCCATGTTAGGTACCTCAATGTGTTGAGGTCCATAGTCAAAGATATGCTTGATTAGGTTAAGGGGGGAGGGTCACTGTGATCTTCCAGATGTTATTACACTCTTCATCATTAGCTATTCTGACTAAGCTTGATAGGAGTCAACAGTCCAACATCAGAAAAGCCATGGTTAAACTATTTAACAGACTCAATATATAGACCATAATCTTGAGCCAACATCTTATATCATCCGTAGATAGCTGGTCATTTTTGGTTGGCTCTTTTGAGCACGGTTATTATGGGGGGGCTGATGCATCTGTAGGGTTTCTTTTCAAGCTGAGCATACTACTAAGGCATAGTTAACAAATGTGGAACTTGAAAATGCCATATTTTAGCAACTTCTTAAAAAGAAAGCTTTGACCACTTGACACAGACACCATATATGATTTTGATCAGGAATGTTCTCAAAAGAAAACTAGAAGGCATGAAAACGTTTGGTTGTGTATCATGAAAATTCTCATTTATGTTAGTATTCCTCAGTTAGGAAAAGAGCAGAATATGAGGGTGAAATGTATCAGCAGCCTTTGTATAATCTAATTGTTCTATTTGCCCAGAGGCAGGGGTGGAGAGCTAAATTCTGCAGAAGCTGTAAACACTGAATGCAGGCTGTTTGCACTTGCACCTCTTAATAGTTCATTTCTCGGCCAATGAACTATTGAGATACAGGGTAGCTACTGTGCCATAGGAGGAATCTTTTCTAATTAACCTTCAAATTAAATGGGACTGTTTTTTCATTATTTACAGCCAGAAGCTCCCAGAACATAAATGGTTAGGGTGATATATAAGGATTCTGACATTTATGTGCTCAGATATCTAATAGATGGCAACTTTTTAAAGATTCAAGACCAACCTAGTCAAGTATTCTAATAACTGTGTTTGTGGCTTTATGTGGAAAAATAGTTAACTCTGACTGCAATGTACAAAATTAACTTTATATATTCATGTAAAAGTCTAGATGGTTTAGTAAAAAAAAAAAATCAACCCTGCAAAATTGTGTGAACTTATCCATGGGTCAATGTGAGTGCTGTGAGTGAGGAACTAGTGACAAAAGGCAAGAGCTTAGTCTATCCCAGAACCACGAGGAAGGTGAACTAACCATCTTTTTGAATGCCTGGGTGTGTACATGGCCATAGCAAGCTCCCTGAGTCGGCATGGATACTTTCGCCTTTCCATGGAATAACCCTTGACTTATCCACAGGTCATGTCAAAATTGATACATTTTGGCCTCAAAACCTGCCCTCAACTTATACAGTCAATATATACATAAATATAAACAGTAGTCGAGAGGGAGGGCCCCTTACCATCTAGCTTAAAGGTCTGTTTAATTGTAGTACTTCAGTTTAACATCACTAGGCTGAGCTGTGTATTTGATTTTGGCTACATCAGTGGTTCCCAACCTGTAGTCTGTGGACAACCAGTCATCCCCAAGAACTAAAATATGGTCTGTGTCCTCACCACTACTACACCACTGCAAGAAGAGTGACTGGTCTTGTGAAACCCTCTATAGTGACGAGGCAATGGGGGTGTCAGGAGAGGAGAGGCTGACTACCCACAAAAGGTGCAACAAGCCTCCTGACTGCTGCTTCTCCTCCCTCTTCCTGAGGGAGCCATTCCATGTGGTGCCTGGAAGCGGGGACACCTTGGTTTCTTTGTTTTTAGGTCTGCTCTTGGGGTTAATTGCGGTGCCGATTCAGAAAATTGCATTGGATAGACCACATCAGTTCTAGATTATTAGTTATGGTTTTCTGTGTGTGGGCAGATGGCGATTACTGGATGGCATATGTTTTGTATCTGAAACTAGAGCTGATGAGGTTTATCCAATGAAATTTTCTGAATCAGCACCCCAAATAACCCAACCAAATCAAAAGTTGACCAAAAACTGTTTTGTAACCCTTTGGGTACTAATGTTGGAGAGTGGTCCCTGGTCAAATAAAGGTTGGGAACCACTGTGCTACATGAATTCATGTCACAAGAAATTCAATATGCAGATTTGATAAATGTGGATTTAATAATGATGTGTGAGAATGAATGGAAGATTAGAAGTTGTATGAGTGGAGTTAATAATTTTGGAGACACCAGTATAATATTAAGACCTGCAATGACTATCTACCTGCTTGCTGGACTGTAATTAAAAGTTGCTAATAAGAACTGAAGAGTAAACTCTGATAAGAACTGGGACAATGATAACAGAAATGTTTACAATGTTAGGAAGGAAGTCAACACAAGCCTTGTGTTTGTCAACACCAATCAAGATCAACATCTAGTCAAGAAACTGAGATGAAGCCAGGATGGAAGAAGTCTATCATTCATTTACAACTTTGGGACTACATCAGCAGAGTCTTTTATGACTCAGTCTAATAATGCCCAAGTTGTGGCAGACCAGAGGAGTCTGTTCCACCCGCTATACTCTGCTCCATGGGAAGGAGAGAGATAGTGTATCATGGAGTGGCAGATTTGCAAGGGAGCAGTCTGATCACTTTGGGTCTTCTTTCTCAAGGGAAGAGGAAGAAGTGTGCCCTTGGAGTCTTGGATTTTGTGCAGGGAGTCAGGTTCTGCTGTATAGAAAACAGAGGTTTGGTCCTTGGCATTGTGCTTAGGGAAAGGATGTATTTTGGAGTTTTGAAGTTATGGCATTATGGAAGTTTTGGAACAATGCATTGGCAGGCTGCAGGAAAGCAGGCCTAACAGGTGCTTCTCCAAGGAGGGAGAAAAGGATATGGTAATATTTGGATGCATGAAGATGAATGCATGTACATGTGGTGTGAATGTTGAGTGAAAATGTAATTCCCCTTTGTTAGTTAGCCATGTAATTGTAAATCCAATGTAGTTGCATAGAATCTGTATGTTTGCATGTCCAATGCCATTCTTTGTCTAAATGTTTTTCTGTAATCTGATATACCCTCTCACACTGGAAATTGCAATAAAAAGCACCTATGCTTCAAAGTTATTGAAAAGTCATTCATGACAAATTGGTGTCAGAAGTGGGATATTCTTTTCCAGTGGGGGAAAAGTTATTCGTAACACTTGTTCCAGTCGTCTATATATAACCTCTAGAAAGAATGCTTTGATTGCCTCTCTGCTTCAGACACCCTCAGCCTGCCAGTGATTAAATTATGATGCTGATTCAAAGGATTGCACTGTTGTAAATCCCAGTAAAATCAACCTATCTTATGTTGACATAAATGGAATGGGAAGCCAACAGTCAAATGATTCTTAATGGGGAATACACTAATTCACCGAATCCCACAAAAGTATTTGAGTGTGTTTAAATTTTAGGAATTTCAGCCCAAGATTATCTGAGGGGGCACTTTGCCACCCCAAATGGACACCATATGATTCACAGAAATAAGTGGGCTAGCTATGTGCACTGGAGACTTGCTTCTTTGAGTATAAAAATATTTATTGAACTATAGAAATATTTATTGAAATATAAAAATATTGAGCAACTTTCACTATGTTCTTGATTATGAGTGATGGATGCATACTTGGATATGAAATGCTAATGTCATTAAATATATGTGAAATCAAGAATTTATGAAGAACTTCAGGTTGCCATTGTAAAAACACACTTAAAAGGATTGTTACAGAAATATTAAATTAAAAGGTATCACCCATTATGTCATGGCTACAATTAATTGTATAAAGCTGTAGTGCCTTACGTTCAAATCCAAGTAATATATGAGATACAATATATAAAGCTAAGTGAGATGTGGTATACAGCTCCTTTAAATCACAATCCAACCAAAGACTTATGAGTCAAACATGAATTAAGGCTGAAACCACTTTAGTGTACAGCAGTGCATAATTCTACAAAATGAACACATTACAACCGTGTTTTGAGGGGCACAAGACATTCTGGGATGTTTCATTACACTTCACTAGAGACCTCTAAGGACGCTTGCATTGCGATGGGCATCTAATGCCATCTGATCGAATGAATTATGGTTGATCAGATCTCTCACTTTTTCCCTAAGGTCATACGATGCTTTGGCAATTTTCCTCGATTCTTCAATAGCCGTGTCTTTGTGCCTTAGGATCTGATTGCTTTTCTGATCCTTCCGTCGTAGTGCTTCTTGCAACTCCCGTAGGTGACATTTTTCATCGTAATCGAGCTTCTGTTTGCGGCAATGGTGGTTCCTTTCCTTCAGGCAGTTCATTTCTTTTACATGCTGTGCTCGGTCATCAATATTTTTGGACATGATCTCTCTGGCCTGCTGGATCTTCATCTCGGCAATCTGCAGCAACATCTCCTTCCGCCGTCTCTTCTCCTCCTCCGTCTCTTTGGCTCGCACCTTGGCGATCATGCCTTGCTCCTCCTCTTTGAAAGACCTTTCCTTCAGTTCCCTGTTCCTCTCTTCCAGCAGCTGCTCCAAGATCTCCTGAGACCGCTGGAGCTTCTGCTCGATACAGAGCCTCTTGTAGAGCTCATCCGCTTTCAGCCGGTCATCCATTTGGTCCTTGTGCATGTGCTGGGCCCGCCTGTATTCATTCATATCTGTTTTCCGCCTCTTCCTTTCCATTTCCTTCATCAGCCTTTTCTCCAGGGCCTGCAGCATCTTTTCCTTGTAGGCATGAGAGCTCTGCTCCCGAGCGCTCCTCTCGCTTAGCTTTTTCTCCCAGAGTTGCTTCTCCTGGCAACGTTTCCGGTACTCGGCTTGAAGCCGGGCACTTTCGCATTTCTCTCTGCGCCGAGACTCCTGTTCTTTGGCCAGCTTCTTCCACTTCTTGTCGCGGAGCATCATGTCCCTCTCCCTGGAGGCTAAGAGCTGCTGTTCCTCCAGCCGGAGCTTGGAGAGCCTCTGGTCGCGGTCCCGCTGCCACTGCTCGAGGCTGTCGGCCACATGGTACCGGCGCTCCTTGTCCAGCCGGGCCTTGTGCTTCTTCTCCTTCCGCCTCAGGTTCTCCCAGGCGTCGGAAACCCGCAGCTGCCTGTCCTTCATCTCCTCCTCCTCCTGGTGCCGGGCCAGCATCAGGGCGGCGATCTTCTTGTCCCTTTCAGGGAGCAGGTCCTCGTAGTGCTTGTCCACCAAGTCATGGAGGCGGATCTGGTGGTCGTGGGCTTTCCTGGGCTGCTTCTGGGGGTGGCGGAGGTGTGGGGTGGCGCCGATGGGGTCATAGGCTGCAGCAGCAGCAGCTTCCTCCTCCTCTTCCTCCTCGTACTTCCGCAAGGAGTGCATGAGGTCCACGAGGCTGGGGCTGCTCCCGCAGAGCTCCCGCCAGTCTCGTCGGCTGAGCTCTTTGGCCTCGGGCTTCGGGGGCGGGGCCAGGGAGGAGTAGGAGGAGGGGCAGCGCGAGGCCGGCTTGCTGGCGTCGGTGGGGAAGTCGGCGGCGGCGTAGTCGAGCGGGCGGGGCACGGGGCTGGCCCAGGGCTCCTCGGCGCGCGGGCCGGCAGGCCAGTCCCCGCCGTAGAGGGTGGTGCAGGAGGTGGCCGTGCCGGGCGTGGCGCAGCCCTCTCCCCCGGGCTGCCAGGCCGAGAGGCGGCGCGCCGAGGCGGGCTTGGGCCGGCGGAGCGAGGAGGAGCAGGCGCGGCTCTTCCCCGGCCGACCGGCCAGGCGGCCCCTCCGGCCCTCGCCGCCCGCCACCTCGGGCTCCGAGCTGTAGGCCTCCAGGAAGCCGCACGCCGGCGAGAAGCGCCCGGGGCTCTTGCGCCTCGCCATCTCCCGCGGGCTTTCCGCGCCGGACAGGCTGCAGCACGACGGGGCGGGCGGCTTCTTCTTGCCCGCGGCGCGGCGGCTGCTGGTCTGGTTGCCCTCCTCCTCCTCGCCGCCCACGCACGCCGCCCACCCGCCACGCGCGCGGCGCCGTCGCTGCTGCTGCCGCCGCATGGCCCGAGTGCCCTCGCGCCCCCCGGCCCCGCCCCCCGCCACGCGCGCCCCGGCGCCACACAGGCAGCGCGCGCGCGTCACAAGCGTCGCCAAGGAGACCGCGCGCCCCGCCCTCCAGCCCGAGCCGGGCGGGGCTGGGCTGGGCAGAGAGGGGCTTCCTCACCCCTTCCTCCCACGTGACCAGCTCTCCCCTTCAGTCCCAACGTGAACTCGAAAGAGTCAAATAGAGGAGATTCTCAAGCAGGCGTGGGCAAACTTCACTTCAACTCCCACAGTTCCTAACAGCTGCATTAGGATGGGGTAGGGAAAAGAATATACATACAGCCCGGAAAACTTACACCAACCCAATGATTCTGGCCATGAAAGCCACAATACACACACATTTTGTGGCTCCCTCTTGCTTCAGGCATCTTTGGTAGCAGGGTTTTGATGTCATGAAAGGGCACTGGATTGTTACCTGCTTAATTTATTGTTATAGTTTTATCGCCCATGGAATGAGATGATGGTGGGAATTTCTGCCTCAGGCACCACAATAATGGCAGGTTTAGGGTACTATGAAGTTTCATTTGGGAGCTGGAAGTGTAAATTGTTGCTCTACACCAGGCTGCAAAATGTTTAGGGTTAGCTCTCTCAGAGGGTTTTTCTACATATCCCTGTATCCCAGAATATCAAGGCAGAAAATCCCACAATATCTGCTTTGAACTGGGTTATCTGACTCCACACTCAGAAAATGTGGGATTTCCTACCTTGATATCCTGGGATATAGGGCTATGTGGAAGGGCCCTTTGGGTATTATACAGTTTCATTTGGGAGGTGGGAGTGACAATTGCAACTCTACATCATACCGTAAAATGTCTAGGATTAGCTGGACTCAAATAAGTTCAAAGCAGATATTGTGGAATTTTCTGCCTTGATATTCTGAAATATAAGGTTGTGTGGAAGGCCCCATAGTCAGCCAGCTATTAGGAATTTTGGGAGTTGAAGTCCAAAACACCTGGAGGACCAAAGTTTGCCCATGCCTAAAGTCATGCAGGATTGTGTGTTACTGCATGGCACAATGGAGTTGGATTGGATGGGTCTTTTACCAGCTCTGGGAGCATTCCTGGGTCTTGCTCAGTTGGGGATGTTTAGCAAAATGCCACACAACCTGTGTTTTGCTTTCACAGGCCAGCAGCCTGTGCCATTCCCCACTTTTTCCCTTAGAAGGTTAGCAGCAATTTGAGAAAGAGGGAAGTTGGACTTTTTAAAAAAAATGCAAAACACTGCTATAACAGTCAATAAATATTAAGGACTCCTGTAACAAACTACAGTAGACTCTCAGTTAACAGGAACTCTCACACAACCAGCAAAAAATAGAAGTAATAACAACAACAACAACAACAACAACAATAATAAACTATTTATACCCTGCCACCATCTCTCCAAAGAGACTTGGGGCGGCTAACATGAGGCCATGCCCATACAAATTACAATAGAGCAAAAATACATATAAACAAAACAATAACATCAAATAAAATAATAACATAGTAATAAAGTTTGTAAAAAGTTTGTGGTATGGTATAGCATGGTGTATAGTGCTAGTTAAGCTTATTTGTAATAGTAACTCTCAAGCAACCAGAAACTACATTAATCTGGCATCTGGTCTACTACAGGAGGAATCTCATTGAACTATTCCTGTGTCTTGGAATGCTGAGGCAACTATGTAGCATTGGTCTGCTTTGCTTCACAGACCAGCAGCTTGTGGCATTCAAAATGTTTCCCTTGCAAAATAACTTTTAACACCAACAAATTGAGAAATGGGGAAGTAAAGCTGGACTTTAAAAAACCCTCTGTAATGATAAATATTTTGAGTTCATGTGACAAACCTAGTCAAATAGGGATAATACTCAATTGCTGCTTGATATGCCTGCATTTTGGGGTGCCTCTATGCTGTAGAATGAATGCAGTTTGACACCACTCTAACCACCATTATCCAATGCTATGGAATTCTGAAAGTTGTAGTTTGGTGAGAGGCTAGCACTCCTTGCCAGAGAAGGCTAAAGATCTACAATTCCATATTATAGCAAATAGGAGGAAACTCCAGATTGGTGTAGTGATTTGAGCAATGAAGTAGACTTTGGAGAGCACTCTGGAGAGCAGGGTTCAACTCCCCACTTGGCCGTGAACTCTGTTAGATGATGGCCTTGGGTAAGTCATGCAGTCTCAGATGAAGGCAACTTTTTCCTTAACAAATCTTACCAAGGAAACCCTGTGATTTTATTACTCTTTCAATAGTCTGCCTTAGGGCCACATGAAGTTGAAAACAATTTTAATGCACACAATGAACTGCAAATCCCAATATTCCATGGAACCATGGCAGTAAAAGTAGAACCTTAAGGTTTATATGATCCTGTGAAGACTTCTGTGTGTATATATGTAAATACTATACTTGTGTAGTGTCGCAGTGCCCCTTAGTGTAGTCTTTTTTGGAACTCTCTTGCTGCGGCTGGCAGTTTCAAACTGCCAAGATTTTAACCAGTGCCTCTCTGTGTGTACATATGTAAATGCATGTAAATCCTCCTGCATATGTTCAGAACGCATACTTGGAGGCCCAAGGCTTCAAAATTCATACAATAATGGGGGAAAGGTTATTGGTACAACACTAAACTTTTTAAAAAAAATTCATTTGTGTCTAGTCACTCTTTTCCTCTTTCACTCCTACATCCCCCCCTCTCTCTCTGAAGAGAAATAATATATATTTTTAAATGGTAATACCATCAGTATTTCCCCTAGGCTGTAAAGATCTACTTGTGGTTTAAAGACCACTGCATTGGGATGGGGGTGGGGTGGGGGGGGGGGAAGAATATACATTTTGTGATTCACTCTTGCTTCAGGCATCTTTGGTAGCAGGTTTTGGTGTCATGAAAGGGCACTGAATTGTTAGCTGTTTAATTTCTTGTTATTATAGTTTTATCGCCCAGGAGATGGAAAGAGTTGATTGCGAATTTCTGCCTCAGGCACCAAAATAATGGCTGGTTTAGGGTACTATACAGTTTCATTTGGCAGGTAGGAATGCCAATTTATGCTCTACATCAGGCAGCAAAATGTCTAGGACTAGCTCTCACATAGTCACACAGCCATTTCACAAGTATTTAATTCCTTAGCTTTTACAGCATCTGAGGATCAAGAGATTTGGACTTTTAAAAATCCTTTAAAAGCATTTGGAGTCCAGCTTGGTTAACAGTGTCAGTGCTCCATTTCTCAGAGGAAGAACTCAGCCTGCTAGGAAGACTAATCACATCAGTGAAACCTTTGCCTCTTCCCTGGATGTTTCTATGCAGTGCTTTGGCACTGGAACAGAGAATCTACAGCTGAATGCTGGTAAATCTGGATGGATAATCATATGTAATCTGATTTTTCTAATGCCACACACAAGATGTAATTACTAGCCCCTGCAATGTACAATCAAACACTTAGCCCAGTCACTAGCATATGGATTATTTCATGCGGTGATGCATATATAAAGAATATTGTAGTATATATTCTGTTAGTTGAATTAACTGTAAAACAAGAGGGTTAAAAGATTGAACTGTGAACTTCAGTTTCATCCCTCTAATGTGTTTCCTCCTCTCAATAGTACAAACAGTTATAAAAAGTTACAACGAACAGGATAAATGGAAGTACAGTGGTTCCTTGGTGTCTGCTGGTGCTTGGTTCCAGGACTCCTGTGGTTGCTCAATTTCCATTATATACAATTGGATAATAATAAAATTGTATCTTTTTTATAAAATGACAACTCAAATGATTACCGGAGAGCAGTGCTGGATTTAGGACAAATGAGGGCCTGTATTAGTAGTTATGAGGCCCCTTTGTGGCACCCCGAAGGAGGTAGGTCCAGCAGACACTCCCATAGAGTATCAACCAGCATTGCCAGGTGTCCTGGATTATAAGGGACAGTCCCTTATTTAGATAAAATGTCCCACGTCCCATTGCACCCTGGTCCAGGACATCAATTAATAATAATAATAATAATTTTATTTCTTACCCGCCTTTTCTCAGGGCTTGAGGTGGGTTACAACATTACTACAACACATAATCAAAACACATAATAATTTAAAAACACTCCATAAAATACACATATTAAAACATATTTCTATAAAATACATATTAAAATAAACAAAAGTTAGACATAGAATGGAAGTTTAACATTCATCATTACAATTATTTCCACTGATGGCATGCACCAGATCTGAGTATGCAGCGAGCTGAGCATGCGCTTCCTTCCGGTAGGGAGTGAGTCCAAGCCTGGCCAGCCTCTTCCCCTCCCTCCAACGGTGGCATCCTTCTGGGCACCCAGGTGACATGGGCTCCACTCTGGGTGGCGAAGGGTCTCTCTATCTTCTGTGGCCCATCTGACCTCTCCCCACTCCCCCTTCTAGACCTTCTCCGGAGGCTGGGTGCGGGAACTATCTGGATGGACGTTGCTATAGCAATGTCTTTGCCACAAGAGATGTCTAGGCCATAGAGGACCTTGGGTGAAAGGGGGTGGGGATGAGGCCTTTCCTTTCCAGAGTACTTTATTTTCACCTTCAGCACCTGGCAACCCCGCTATCAACTCTATCATTATATCTGTAAGGTAAAGGTAAAAGTTGTCCCCTGACATTAAGTCCAGTTATGTCTGACTTTGGGGGTTGGTGTTCATCTCCATTTCTAAGCCAAAGAGCCGGCATTGTCCGGAGACACCTCCAAGGTCATGTGGCTGGCATGACTGAGCAGTACCTATTGATCTATTCACATTTGCATGTTTTTGAACTGCTAGGTTGGCAGAAGTTGGGGCTGACAGCGGAAGCTCATGCTGCTCCCTGGATTTGAACCTGCGACCTTTTAGTCAACAAGCTCAGCAGCTCAGCGGTTTAACCCAGTGCGCCATCGGGGGCTCTTTTATCCTTGTATACATTGCACAATGTCTTTTTTCCT